CTTTAGCCATGCCGAGATTCGCGAAATAGCGCTATATAGGGTGAAATGGATTTTTTCAACTAAGAATATATTAATATTACTTTCAATTTATAAGTATGCTGGAAGAAATTACTCAGCCAGTATATGCTTCTACAATTCAAAATACATATCTTAGTATGCTTGTAATTATTTTAACATATTTTTTCTGAGTCTGCTGTACTTCTATTTGGAGTTATATTACTCATTAAATTATGCAGCCTGCTTTAATATTATAAATTCTTACTTAGTTATAGAAAAGATGCTTTGCTTTGTAATAACAGCGCGCTGCCTCTTCAAATCGGCAAAGATTTTATGGCTCTTTAAATTGCAATAATGCCTTCAACTCATTTTACTACTCACTGCTGCTTGCCAACTTCAGGTGGTACGTTGTTGTTGTTGACCAAGGCATTTTCATTATTTTTTATTAACAATATAGAACCGATATGCCGATAGTAATTCTTTGTAGTTATGCCGCCGCACAGTGATTGAATTGTGTACTCGCTATATAACAGCAACACAAACACAAACAAAAAAAAAATGGCAATGAAATTTTTTCAAGCGCAAGCACGCTATAAACACATGTATGCATGTGTGTATATGAGCATAGAACAAAGAAAATTTGCATAAATATGTATATATGTATGTTTATTAATATGTGTGTGTATGTGTGCCGCTGAATGAATCAGCCAAAAGATCAAACGATCGCAAAACGCAAAACGCAAAACGATCGATGAAGTATTGAGTGCTGACTGCCATGTCGCCCAAAGCAATTTGCGCCGCGCACACCGCGCGCCACATTTAACCACAAAACGCAGAAAAAGCAACAAATTTCAAAATAAAAAAATAATATACCACTACACCAATACAACTATAAATAACCAAGTGCAGTACAAGTATGCCTTGCCCATTTACCATACCACAGCACAAAAGACTTAGGCAACGAACTTGCTGCCAGAGCTGTTGCGCTGCAGCGGCATTTAGACATTACAGCCTTTTAAACTATTGCGCTGCCTGATAGTAATCGAACTGAGGCAGGTCAGCACGTAGATTTCTGCAGCGATTAGCATGTGCAGACAACCAGCGGAACGCCTGCACCGCCGCCTTTGCTCGTAAGCTAGACAAGCTGGCGGTGTTGCTGGCTTGCTGGCTCGCTATATGCAAAGCTTGGTCACAGTGCGCAGTCGGTGGGTGTTGCGCTGTCTGCCTTGCAGCCGCAATTGATGCTGCGTGCATCAGTTAGTCGGTCAGTTAGCCTATACGTATGTCTAAATCAAGCGCAAGCCCTTAAGCGCGCAGGACAGGATGACTTTTTAGTAGAGTACGACTTTTTTACTTCGACAATATTGCGGAGTTTAACATTTGAATGTATTGGTGCATTGAGCAGTCATTGTCATACTAGATTACTCGCATTCCACATACCTCCTTTTAATTTGGAGCTCAAAACTTTGCTTGATTTAAAAGGCTATAATTTCTTCATCGTGAATTTTAATATCTTATAAGCTTTTAAATATCGTTGGTATGGTCGCTATAGGAAAAAAAACTATGGTATACTATTTGTTAATCGATAAATGAAGTTCTATATTCTTGATCGCTAGCTAGCGCCATCCATATTTCTCTCATATATTTACTCTCTCTCCACCCGTCCGCAATAGTAATGAATTTGCCTGCCATATACAATAGCTTTTTGAATCATTAACTATAACCGCGCTTAACTATTGCCTACCGCCTTACTAACTTATGTCCCGGCCGACTGCCTGCGCAACTTGTCGCCACTTGGCCACAAAGCGCTAACCAAATCGCGGCTGTCTGCCTCAATTTGTTTGAAAAATATTTATTCGCCTTAATAGACATCAACACGTTCGTAAAAGATACTCTTATTTGCCACATTCCTTGCTCCACTTTTAAGATAGTTGCCTTCATGTTGCGCTTGTTGTTGTTGTTATTATTGTAGTTTAAGGCTCCCGCACCGTGAGCCAGTAAGTGTAACGCCCATTGATTTCAGCACAACGACGCGCCCCAAAACACTTTTTTGTTTTGCACAAAAGTCGATATACGTACACACATGCATACAAGCAAAATTTGTGACACACAAACGCGCTTGCTTGCAGTTGCTGCAGAATTTGTTGGCAATCATTTTGTGGCAGCAAAAGGTAGAAACATTATTTATATGAATCAAATGAACACTGGCGCAGCATGTAGCTTTTGCGCATGCGCGTCAGTTTCAGTTGCCGTGGGCAGCCCTAGCGGCGTTGTTGTTGTCGCTACGCGAAGCATACATCAGCGCGCTTATATATACATATATATATATATACTTAAGTTTGTTGCCTGTTTGTCGGAATATGTGTTGCAAGTCGCACGCGTACGTGTTGCCGCCGATCGTGGGATATAATTTTTTGTTGCTGCCGCACATTTAAAGCGGCATAACTGCAAGCATATAAAAAAATATATATATTTATATACATACATATATAGCTGCGTGAACTTGCTGCCACATGCGGCATCACAGGTGATAACTAAAGGCTCTGATGCTAATGTGATTACAGCCTTTAAGTTTATAAACATCGGTTGTGCGCAGCAACAACTTGACTGCAGCGCCTGTGCGCGCATCCGTGCTCAAGCTGAAGCCAACACATTGATATATATTTCGCACGGAACTGCGCAGAGTGCGCAACTGCAGGAGTCAATTTGTGAGTAACGTTCTATTGTTGTTATTGTTGTTGCTTTAAGTTTTTTTGTAGTTGTTGTTATTTTAAATTTTTTTTTATTGCTCTGTCTCACTGCACTGCGTCTGCGTTGCGTATCTGATTTTTGTTTCATTTCATAATTATTTTTGGTTCGGCCCAGCTGTCCGCCAAGCGGTGAAGATCAAGCGGATATATTGGCCACTTCGCGTACATCCTTTGTTGTCCTCAAACTCTCTGACCAAATATGTGTATGTGTGTGTCTCCGCCAATTCGGCTTTTCTTATGCTAGTTTATTTTTTATTTTTTGTTGTATTCTCCTTTGCTTGGAATCCCCGCACGCGAAATGGTGTCGAAATGTTTAATTGATGACCAAAATTTATTGCTGCCCCGAATGTGTTTGTTCAAAATTGCTGTATAAGCGATGTTTATACGGAAGTTCGTAGTTAAGGCGTAAAGCAAATGATTATAATTATTTCGTTTAGATATGAACTTAGGTCTCTGAGTGCAGTAGGTTTTCTTGCAAAAATGTTGTTGTTGAAATGTTAAATTTTGGCACTCAGACATTTTTGTACTAAAATTCTAAACGTGTTTTGAAAGGAAACACACATATACACAGTAGTCTGTTTGAAGACAGAGTTGAGCTCATTTCAATCTGCTTTATGGTAGCGACCTCTACAAATATTTTTAAAATTGTTAGTGATTGACAGAATGTACGAATTTTCTTAGTATTTCTTATGAGTTAATAAACTGAAGGCCCGCAGCTTCTGATATAATCCAATAATCTATCATACTTACTTGAAATACCTCAGTATCGACTGAGTGAAACTTGAACTCAAAGTTTTTTCGTGACTCAAGCCGAAATGTGACCTCAACAAATATCAGCATGCAGTTTTTAGAAAGAGAATGCTTTAATCAGCGCTTTAGATACATTATACGAACCCGGTGTCTAATCAATTACCCTTGACACTGCCTTCTAATCCTACTGCAACAGGAAACCCACTTATAGAAAATATAAATAAAACCGCTAACTCAGACTTCTCATTTTCTGGCTATGAAAGACACTTCTGCGATAAATTCTGGAGTCAAAAACAATGAAAGATCGCTCAGAGATATGTTTCATTCTCTTTCTAGTTTTATTTCAGTTTTCTCCGTTGGTCGTTGAAACCCTCATTCCTATTGGGGAAAAACCAACGCAGTCGCTTTTCACAAGTTTTTCTTGAGACAAAATTTCCAGTAGTCAAATTATTCGCCATAGACGGGAACAGGTCTTCGGGAACACTGTTTCAAATTCCGGAATATAAGATGGCTGCATGAGAATTTTCCAACTAAACTCCCGCAATTTCTGGCTAGCCTCTACCGATATATGTGGCAAGGCATATAAATATTTTACGTTCTCTGTTCATGTTGTAGTTGTTGTAGCGGCAGAAAACATCCCTGAAGTAACCTGGGCTCCATTCCGGTTACGTAGACCCGACTGTTATGGGCACGGACCATCGTTTGCGTCCGCTTACCGCGATTCGACCACGACCATTTTCAGTAGATCTCGCTGAAGCTACAGAAATGGATCGCTTTTGTTGGGTTGCAGCAACAAGTGGCAGATGGCAAAATAAAATATACCTACCAAAAATTAACAACAAGGTATAGCAGCAGACTTTACCTTTAAACTCACAACATGCAGTTTTAAAAAACAACTTTTACAAAATATTCCTTGGCAGCAAAACCGACACCTACAGTGGCCTCCAAAGGTTTGCACTATCACATGTTTGAATGCCTTCGGTCCTGCAGTAGTACATCCAATGACCCATAGATGTCGTCATAGTGTAGAAATTTTACATTTGTCTAATATTTGACCAGTAGATGTCGCACTAATACTTTTGATTGGCAACACTATTGGCTCGGAGCTGTCAAATTCAGCGGTTTAAATAGTTTTTGAAATATGTGTTTCCGCATATTAAATATTTAATTTAAATAATACACATAGTAAACTTAATTAAGTTTAAGTGTAATTTTTAAGCTAACAGTGTTGCCAACTTTTGCATATTCATAAGAATATAGAAACTATGGTTCAAATAGTGTGTTGGGTGCGTGGTCGGTACACAGACGTATCTCGCACATCCGAAAGCGTGCATCCGTCTACGATGTCTCACTACTGCGTTAGAAGTTTAGTCATATTACAGCAACAACAATCCTAAGCGATAAAAAAGTTGCGAGAATATCAGAGGTTCCAGTAAGTTTACTAAGCCGAAATTTTTAAAGCGAAAAAGCGGTTCCTTTAGCAAATATTATCAAACCCTAGTATTTCTTCGTCAATTTACATTCTTTATTTTAAAATAACAGTTCCATTACCTCATTTCTTGACAATCAATTCACCATTTAGTTACTTTTTACTTAATTTTTTTTTTAAGTGTAAGCAGTGTGTATGAGTTAAAGGTTAGATAATCGTGAGCGCTCTGAAGTAATGCAAATACGCGTTTAAGCAAAATTAAAAGTATTGTTAAGAAATTTTCTTAGCCACCTCGCTAGTTACAGTCTTTTCGTTTCTACTCCACATCGATACCTTCGCCGTTCACTTGAATCGTAATAGACACATCAAGTGGCGGCGTCGACTCACGACTACGCGCTGGACTGCCAGCATGGCTAGTCACCAGAGAACGATATGGCAGCTCATGCAACTGTATGGCCGTTTCGCTGCTGCGTCTTAACGAACGGCGACGCGCATTTGACGTGACATACTCCTGCTCAGCGTGTGGCAGCGCAAAATTGTCCACTTGCTGTTGGCGCTGGCGCGATTGCGCATACACAGCATCGGTTAGGTCCACAATCGTAGCATTTGGGTGCAACTTAGCAACTGCATCTGGCCTACCGCACACTGCTGCTTCCTCGCCGTCACCATAACCGCATTCTAGTTCGCTCTGCAATTGCATGGCTTGCTGACGCGCATAAAAGCTGCTCGAGTAACGGCCATCGGCGGAGCGTGAACGACGCTTCTTAACCGCCTCCGCGCATACCGTCAAAAGATTCTGAAAATATTTCAATATTTTCATAAAATTAAATTCATAATACTTAAGCTCAAGCGCAAACCTCATTCATGCCGTCGCGCGTCACACCGCGACGCAAGCGTCGCAGCCCATGCTGTTCGTCCAGTTTGTTAGTCATTGCGGACATCCAATCCTTTGCATTCGCCAGCGACAGCGAAGACTGTGAACGCTCCGGCAAACGTGTGGGAAATAAGGACTCGTGTGTGCCGGTGACAGCGCCAGCTTCAAGTACGAAAATGCGCGGAAAGTCAATGACAAAATCACGGCTGCGCATCAGTTCATCGAGCGTCCCGTTGCGTTGTGCGCCGGCTGGCACTGTAGCGCTGGGATTTCCGTTAACTGCTGAAGCACCTACAGCATTTGTGGCAGCCGCCGGTGGGCGATCGGGTTCATACTCCAGAATGCTTTCCTCGCTGCCAAGAAACTGATGGAATATAGAAGCATGTACATACATAATCGGTCAAGGCGTATACACAAGTTCTAAGAGATAAGCGCCATGAAACTGTGGCTGTGTTGGCATGATATGTGTTAACTGTTATATGGAATGGCAATCGATTTACCGTAAGCGTAGCTTCACTTTGGTTTTTCAAGCATTTTCCTTTATGATAATTTATTTGGTGAAAAGTTGAGGCACATCTAGTAGCTGTATTGCAAAACTATATTTCAAAAACTGGTTTTTCAAAATTTTATTTATATGTAAATGAGTGGCAATGCAATTTTTAATTAATAATTTACATCGAACTCTCATTTTTGCAAACTTTAAAAGCGTTCTAGACACTAGCACTGTGAAAACACCCAGCAAAAGTCCGCAGCAAGCATTTTCAAGCGTTCTCAAGCATAGTAGAAGTAATAAAAGTTGGGCAGCGTTTTTAGAATTCTCCTTCATATTTTCGTTTATTTCATAAATTTTAGCGATTTTTATTAACTATTTTCCGTAACTTTCAAATAGCGCACTTAACTAACTTAAGTTAATACATATACATATAATTCGGTTATGTATGCATGTATCTATGTATGTATATAGTATGTATGCATGTATATACATGTTTTTTACAAATTGATAAACTCCTTCGAAATTCGAGATTTTTTTTTCATTTGGCAAAATATTTTAATATTGAATATTTCAACAATTTTTAATTTAATATATTAATTATAGCGTTTGAAATGGATAAATAAAGTAAAAAAAAACAGGTTGAAAGTTGAAAAATAAGTCTAAAGAAAAACATATGTATATATTTACATATGTATATTTAAATTGAAGTTTTATACATTGTGTATATATGTAATTTTAAAGGCTTTCAAGGTATACTCACTTAATATATTGTAGATATATGTATTTAAGTTACTAATTAATTTTTAAGCTACACTTTAAGCTAAACACTTAAAATTTTGTTAAGTTTTATTTATTCTTTTTTTATTTGTTATTATTAAATTTTTTTATTAAAAAACAATTGAAATCCAAAGCAATTTGGGGTATATATTAAATTTGTTTGACCAATAATTATAAAAAATTAAATTAATTTAAAATTAAAAGAAATTAAATTAAATTAGGATAAAATATTAAATAAAATCAAAAAATAATTAATTTAATTTAAACAAGTAAAGTTAAATAAAATATTTTAAAAAAATTAATAAATTTAAAAAAAATTACTAAATTAAATTAAAAAAATTATCTAAAATAAAAATAAAAAAATTTAAAAAAAAAACATTTGATTACATTAAACAAAATTAAATGCAATTGAAAAAAAAATAATTTTTTGTTAAAAAATAATGAAAATTTTTTCACTTGAGACAATATTTTTAATTTAATTTAGTTTTTTTTTAATTATTAATTTTTTATTTAATAAAAAGAATTTTAATAATTTTTTTTATCAAAAAATTATTTGTTTTTTTCGAGTCTACATTTTACATAAAAACATTACAAACAATACATAACAATTGAATTAGAAGTTAAAAAAATATTCAATACTTTTTAAAAAACATACTCTTTTTTCAGTTAATATTTGATATTAAAATTACATTAAACTGAAAAATTAATTAATAAAATGTAATTACATTAAAAAAAAATTAAATTAAATTAAAAATTAAAAAAAATTTATCTGAAATAAAAAAATAATAAAATTAAAATAAATTTAATTATAATAGAAAAAATTTAATAAAATTTAAATAATTATACAATTTTGGTTTTAGACGAACGTAGAGAAACATGCACTCAATATAATTTCCACGGCATTTTGAATATTAAAAGATACAAGCCTGAAAAACCAAATATTTATACATTTCATAACGAATTTTAACAAAAAAATTATGAAATTTACAAAAAAAAACATATTGTAAAACAATTTATTTGAAGCAATAAAATTATATATTCGGCATATTATATGAGAATATAACGAATAAAATTTCGTAGCATACACATAGGGGCTATTATGACTACAAGTATTATAGGAAATGTGAGTGCTATTTAATATATGTATGAAAAGGTAAATAATTCACGCATTTGTTAAATTTTTATGCTTTATTTTTAAATGTAAGACTCTTCCACATGTTTTATGGAAAAATTGCAAAAAAAAAAATTCATAAAAAAAATTATTAAACTAAAACTATTAAAATTATAAAATTATTATTATACTTATTAAAATAAAATTATTGAAAACGTTATAAAAGAATCTTTAAAGAATGTAAATAATATAATTAAAGAAATACTTTCGATTAATCTGCTTTTATACGCTTTTGTTGTAATGTGAACCAAATTGACAATTGACAAAATTGGAATTGTTTTATTGATTAATAGCTGCTATAAAATCACAGCATATCCTTAGGGGCCAATAAGAGTACGTTAAATATACATTTATCAACAGAAAGACATTTCGCACTTATTAAGTTCTATTAAATTTTAGCTATTTCGATTAGCTTCGCGATATAATAAAGATACGGGGGTCTTGAAGTAGGTAACTACATAATTCCATAATAAGTTTCTTTGTTGAGGAATGAGTATCATTGAGCGAATGTTTTAAATAAAAATAAAAGATTTCTTAGCTACACAATAGCATACTTTCATAATGTTGCAAGTAAGCTATTACGAAAATAAAATTACAACATTCAAACAAACCAAAACACATATGTACAAGTATATAACATGAACAACATATTTAAAGAGTAAATATTATAATTTTTTATTAAATAAAATAAAAAGTGCTGTTTTCGATTTTATGAAAATTATTTGTTTATATTTAATCAATCAAATATTTTGTAAACTACGCTTACACTACTACATAAATTTCTTTGTATGTATGTATATTTGAAGAAAAAAATTTCAGAACTGCATTTTATTGTTTTGCGCATACTTTTTTCTCTGACTTAATTTCTACGTTTTAACTGCATGTTAAGTAACACATATCTGCTGTTCTATATTTTATTTAGATATCATACCATATACTCGCGTAATGTATATATTGTATATATATGTATATATTTTCAATAATATTTAATTATTAAATGACTAGTCAATAGTCACCACGACTTTAGCGTTGTGTGTATCGGAACACCTGATTGCTCATATATTTAAGACTAAGAATTAACCGTTATTTATTAAACACTAAAATAATTAAATAACTATTTTTAGTATTTTTTAAGTGTGTATGTAGTATGTGTGTGTATTTTTTTTTTTAATTTTTTATGTGGGTTGGATTTTTTAGAATTTTTTTGTACAAAATTTTAATTTTTGAAAAATTAAAAAAAAATGATTGCTAAAAAATATTTTTTCCTTAAAAATATGTTAAGCCTCCACAGCAAAAAAGAACCGACATAAAAGCAAAAAATATTATTTTTTTATCTGGTTTATAAAACATATTCTATCTTCACAAAAAGAAAACGAGAAATAGCATAAAATTACAATTGTTTCATTTGCGATTTTTTTTTTTTTTTGTAAAATTCTAAAAACTTTTTTTTTGTTTAAAAAAATACAGCAGGCCTTCACAACAAAGAATACGAAGTAAATTTGCTGCATTTTTTTTTAATTTTTCAAAAAAAAATTCATTTTATGCTTTTATTTCCGTTTTTCACTGTCAGCTTAACATATTTTTATGAGTAAAAAAAAAACTTTAAAGAATTTTTAGAAAAAAATTTTAGAATATTTTTATAATTTTACAGAAAAAAAATCTTTACAAAATTATAATAAAATAACGTAAGCCAAACCTTCTTGTTCACTGGATTTTCACAAAAAAATTTCCGCGATAAAGTTTGCATAGAAAAAAATATTGTTCTTCAACCTGCAAATGTCTACACACATACACATATGTATATACATATATATATATGTATATATGTATGTATATATATTTCACATATAATCATTAATCGTAATCGTTAAGTCTTAAAAAGTCTCAAAATGTTTTTCTCGCTTATACACTTAAAAATTACTTGCGTTCCCTACAAACTACTCACCCTATCATACAGACGATATCGTTTAGCGCTTAGCATAGTAAAGACAACACAAAAATACAAACAAAACTAAAGCTTAAAAATAATTGGAAAAAAAATTCACAAAAATAAATTTTTCTTTTGCACAAAAATAGCAAAAATTATTTACAGTATGTATACTTATAGTGATGTGAGTAGCATAAGTGCATGTATGTGTTTAGGCATGTGTGTGTATGTGTTTTGATGAGTTGCATTGCAGCGTGGCGCCTAAGAAATTGCGAATGCACCAATTTTTCGCATTCACACGACTGTGCCGCGCTGCTATTTGGCGTTTAGTGTTGTAATTGTTGTTTTTGTTGCAGTACGCTTAAACGTCGGTCACTTGGTGACTGGCGGTGGATACTTGCAACACCAAAGGCGCCGAGTTGCGGCGCATAATGTGTGTGCTGGCCGTGTTGTTGTTGTTGTTGCTGTTGTTGGCCGCGCAGCTGTGCTGACAGCAGTTGCTGTTGTTGTTGCCACCGTTGCTGCTGATGCTGCGCTGTTGACAACACGAGCTATCACTTGGCGTGTTGTTGCAACAATTGCAATGACTATGATTACCACTACTACCACTACCACTACTACTACTACCGCTACTACTAATGCTGCTGCTAGCACAATTACAGTTATGTGCGTGTGATTGCGCATGCGTCACTGCGCTTGCTGGCAACTGTGTCTGCGTTGCATCAGCCGCACTCGCCGGTGTTGGTTGTGAATGCGATTGATGTGGTTGTTGTTGATGTTGTGTTTGTGATGTCTGCTGTGCTGCGGAAAATGGCGGCGCTAGCGCAACTACAATGACCTCCACATCATTGTCACCGCCCATTGTTTGTACGGGTCGCGGCACGTGTTGTGGACTCGGTGTCGTGTGTATTTGATCACCCACCACAAAACCGTAGAATTTCAGCACGTCCAGCTTGCACATGGGACAGGTGCGGTGCTCAATTAGCCATGGATCGATACAGTTCTTGTGAAATTCATGCCTGATTGGAAGATAAGTGCGGTGTTGCGGTGTAAATATTAGAAAATTCTCAAAGCGCATTCTCGAATTGCATTTCTATAAAGATTTCTACTACTCACTTGCAGGGTAATACGCGTATGCAGTCGGATGGTTTGTAGGCCTCAATGCAGATGGCGCAACAATCGCTGTCCATATCCTTGTCATCGCTGCTCTTGCCCGTCTTTGTGGGTATTTTCATGATGGCCTTCTTGGTCACCGAACACAGTTGGCGCTGTAAGGGAGAGGAGAGGGCGGAAAGTTAATATCTGATACTATAAAAAATTATCGAAAATATAGCCCTCCTTTATTATTAATTTTTGTAAAGAAATTTTGTTTTTTATCTACAAAAATACTAGTTAAAGCTGAAATAAACCCTGATGAGGACATATTAAATCTGATCTACGCGACAGCTCAAAAATTCTCCTTTAGGTTTGACATCGCCGTGCATATTTTTATATGTTATAAACTTAACTTCTTATCTGGCCTTAAAAATATAAGTAAAGAAATGAAAAATATATTGTAATGTAACTAGCCAACAAGTATACCCCTAATATGTGAAAGAATTCTTCAAACTCAGGCCAAAAAGTAGGTTAAAAAGTGGATCGTGATTTTCCCCAACCCTAAAATACCACCAGCGCTGAGTTCCGTACTTCATATGCCCATAAAAAACCCTACCTAAAAGCCTTAGACCCAATTAGTTAAGTGGGTTTTTCTATTATATAATGAAAGGTTGTGGCAAAAATATATGAAATCGCTCTATATCTGCTCCTAGTCCCAATATATCAAAAACGTTTATTTTCGCCACTCCGATACATATCGTTTAATTTGTGAGATATCTAACAGAAATTAGATGCGAATTTCAGCAAATATCTACAGAACTAATTAGGTTAGAATTATATTAAATATTTGGAGCAAATATATATGAAATCGATCCATATCTTAATATAGCTTTCGTACACCCAATACACCAAATTGATGTCCATACTTCTGATATATGTATAATATATCGATCAATATTGCACATTATTTTGCTACAATTAAGCGAGAGCGTTAGCTTTTAATATAATATTATTACTTGTTTCTTATCATTTTATTTCGTTTGTTGTTGTTGCTCATTTTTAATATGAATTTAATATAATTAAAAAGCCAACTTTGCGCCCTTACCGATTGCTGATCCTTAGTCTGCAGATATCTAAAGCGTTGTATGTAGTAGAACAGCAACCACACCAGCGATATCACCATTAGCACGATGAAGGAAACGGACACGAACAGCACAGATGTTCTACGAATATGTAAGAGAGTAGAGCGTAATAAAATAATCGATTTTTTTTAAGTAAAAATATTTTAAAAATAATTTTACAATATTAAAGAATAATTATTTAAAGGAAATTGAGAGAGAGATAGAGAGATAAAAAAAATAGAAAGGTAACATATTTACAGTTATTCAAACGAAAAAATTAAACGAAGTATATATCGTTAGTATAAAATAATCATCGAGCGACAACGAATACTTATGTTTTAAATATATAATATAGTTTTAAGTATTTTTATATATTTAGATACATTAATATATATTTAGTATATTTTCATTTTCAAAATATAAATAACATTCAAAGCTTATAACTGTGTTTATATGTAAACTAAAGTCATAAATCATATATTTTACAATAAAATATATACTTGAGTATTTTAATATTTGAGATTATGCTGTTTGTTATATATAATATATGTTATAATTAAAATTTGTAGGTGTGGTTGATTGAACTGAACAAATAATTTAATTTTTTTAAATTGCTTATAACTGTTAAACCAATAAATATATAAAATTGAAAAATATGAACTTTTTTAAGTTTAGATTGTTAAACAGAAAATTTGTAAGTCTCCACATGTATGTGAGCACATATCTATAGTAATTTTTAATGAAAATTCAACTTGGAATTTTTTTTTAAATTTTATTCAAAATATATGGCAACGATTACACCAAAATGCTTGTTAACATATCCACAACAAATTTTAAGTCACTAAGAAAATGTGCTTGCTAATATTTATCTTTTGTCTTTTTTTAAATTTTTACCTAATTTCTATAATAATCCTAATGTTTTTAAAAATTTATATTTTTTATTTTTTGTATTTAAATTTTTTTATTATATTTTTTTCAAGTATTTAAATTTTTTCTTTCTTTTTTGCAATTAATTGTTTGTTATTATTTTCTAATTATTATGTTTTAGTTTTATTTTTCATATTTTTTTTGTTAAATTAGATTTATTTATTTTACTTTATAAAAAAAAAAAAAAAATGCTGACCTAATTTCTATATTAATCCAATTTTTTAATATATATAAATATTTTTTTTTAACTTATTTTTTTAATTTAATTTTATTTTTTATATTATTTAGTGTACACTTTTTTAAAATTGCTTTTGATTAATTCTAAAAATTTAATTTTTTGTATTTTTGTTATTGTTATTCTTCATTTATTTTTTTTCTAAATTTTCATTTAGTTATTTTTTTATAAAAAAACAAAATGCTGACATAATTTCTATATTAATCCCATTTTTTTAATATATTTAAATTTGTTCTAATTTTTTTTTTATTTAATTTTTTTTTCTTATATTTTATTTTTTTTTTAATCTCTTTTTAATTTTTTTATCTTTTAAATTTAATTTTTCTTTACTTTTTTTATCTATTGAATTTAGATTTATTTTTATTAATTTTTTTAAAATTTATCGATTTATTTGTTTAGATATATATTTTCTTATTTTTAATTTAATTTTTTTTAACATTTAAATTTCTTTTATGTAAATTTTTAAATTATTTTTTAAGTTTTATTATCTTTTGTATAAAATTTTTTTCTTCATTTTTTTTTTAAATATTATTTTTGATTTTTTTAATTTATCTATTTTTTTTTTCATATCTGTTTATTTGTTTTTTTACACAATACTGAATTTAATTTTGCTCAAACAATGCATGAACTCGGATATGTTGTAGAACTGTATAATCGCATCGCACTACTACATAACTAATACGTTGTTTTTGTATTTACGAGTATGTATGTACTTGTATGTAAATTTGTAAACTTTTTGCAACTCAACAAACGTGAACAATACTACGCACTTACTTTTTTATGATCTACAACATATCCGAATTTCATCCAAAATGTAGTCGGCTACCCTGTACGATTTTCTTGTAGTATCTAAAAATAGCGTAAGGAAAATTCAAATATATACATACAGTTAAATGTTATATTTTTATAATTTATTAGATGCATAGTGTTCAATTAGAATTAGAGATAGAAGTTCTAAAATTCACGAATTAATGTTATACCTAAAATGAGTTACTTTTTAAGCTTTTTTAGATAAATGACTATCGGTATAACGGTTTAAAAAATCAAAAATTAATGACATATACGGGTATATAAGAAGTCCGCCATAACTATTTTCAAATGGAGTAAGATAAACTTCAAAAATGAGTCGCAGAATATTTACTCTCTTGAGAGAACACGTTCCTAGACTCAGAAAAAAATATTTTTTGTTATATATTTTACCAAGTTATAGGGCTTTTTTGTGTGATATTTATACAACTTTCTAAGAAAAGGTTAAAAAAACACATGCGACGACTAGCTAGCGGCTTATAATGTTCCGCAAAAATGTTCTCCGTTCCATTATCGAATGTTTTGCCAAACACATTGTAGGTCTAAAATGTCAGTAACGCTTGTGTTTCGAACCTACAACCCACCGCCTGCCAATCAACCACTTAAACCGCTCTACTACAGTGATTAACTCAATTATTATTTTAATTATTGTCATGAAATATATATGTAATTATATTGGAATATAATTTTGTGCACATGTGTCTACATATCACAACTACAACAACAACCCAACAACGAGCTAACAATCGCATACAAGTATGCATATTTATAGTACAACACGGTGTCACTAAGGAGCTTGAATGCAAATTTATCTAAGCAAACAACTTGTAATTGTCTTGTCAAGTTTTACGTGGAAATGTGCAAAGACATCAAGCACATCTACACATACATAACTACACACATTAAATATGTATGTGGGTAACTGGGCAATTCAGAGTCGTGATTGAACTAATAATTTAGTGGCAGCGCTTGTTTAGTTCAAGAAACTTCCATTTTTGGCGCAATATCATGAAAAAAACAATAAATAATTATAATAAACTTAGACATGCGAAATTTATGCGATAGACTTAGCTACTGTTTTTGTTTTAATTATAATTTTTTATTGTTGCTTGATATGCAACACACATGCCGCAGGGGGTGGGTGGGGCTATGTTTTATTCATTGCCAACGGTAACCTTCCACCGCAATGAGGCGGCAAATATTTCTGACGCACGTGCAGAGTATTTAAAAATGACGGACAACAAAATAAAACAAGAAAAAACGGTTGCACCGAAGCTAGAATACCCTTCACATATACAAAATCTTCCCTTCAAGAACTTGATTTTGAGCGGTCAGTTTGTATTGCAGCTATATGTTGTAGTGGTCAGATCTAAACAATTTGTTCGAAGATTATAGCGCTGCCTTGGATAATACTCTATACCAAATATCTCGTCAAATGAAAAAGTTTTCCATGCAAGCACTTGATTCCGATCGCTCAGTTTGTATGGCAGCTATATGCTGTAGTGGTCCGAAAATTTGTTCGAAGATTATAGCGCTGCCTTGAATAATACTCTATAGCAAATTTGCATGCAAGCACTTTACTCCGATCGCTCAGTTTGTATGGCAGCTATATGCTATAGTGGTCCGACAAATGAGCATTTTTCTGATGGGAAAAGGATGGGTGCAAAATTTCAGCTCGATATCTCAAAAACTGAGGGACTAATTAGCGTTTATACAGACAGACAAACAGGTACACTCTCGCACTTATCTATATCGACTCTTCTGATCATATATACATATATATGTATATATTCTAAAATAGACGCTATACGTTTTATTCTGGCTGTTATAAGCTTCGTGCCAAACTAAATATACCCTCTTTAGGGTATAAAAATATTTTCCAACAACAATGCACAAAAAATAAATGGACAAGCCTAGACCACAGAGAAAAATAGCCATAAAAAACAAAGTCCAACGAGAATTTTGCGCATTCTTCAACTGTTATGCATACAAATGCGTTCAGCGCGCTAAGCGAATGGCTACAACTACGCCGTGGCACGCTCACATATACATATACACATACACATATCTACATAGAAGTATTTTTGTTTGTATGTATGCGCGACAGGTGTGCCAACACTAAGCTTAATGTCTATAAAAACTTTTGCGGGCGCAATTTAGATTTAGTCATGTCTTTTTTCACACAGCCCACATGTATTTATGTATGTGTGTGTGAGCAAAATATGCCTGATCTCCAACCTCTCCTTAATACAAAACGACTCCATGTTAAGTCTAAACTTAATCTTTATTATGGAGCAGTAAAAATTCAATTTGTTTATGTTGTATACACGCTGCGACATGGCTCTTATCAACACAGCAACAACAACAATAATAGTAACAAGCACAATCAACCTCGAGACAATTTCGCACGTAGTAAACACTGAAGGAAATTGATAGCACGCAGGGAATAAAAAAAAAAATAACATAAAACATAAAAAATAAAAAATAAAAAAGGAAAATATGATGACACACATTTTAGGGGAATAAAACCACCGAGTTAATGCAGTTAACACAACTTTTTGGAGATGACGTGATCTTAGCTTTGGATGAGACTTTAAACTGTATAATAAATCCATCAAATTCTTTGACATGTTTTATGAGAATAGTAAGTTTTAGATTTTAGGGCTGACCTAAATTTTTAAACTGTTCTTTGAATAATCATTAAGTGGGCAGAAAAGATGTAAGTTCATATTTCACCGATAAACTGCTTCAAGTCCACTAAGTAAATTCTAATGACAAATATTTCTATAGCACAACTTAACCCTTAACTTGCTCAGCAAACCATTTTTTTAACCACCTTTTACAGGATTCAGAACAAAAAGACTTTGAGAGACCATTAGAGAGTGAAAATGTTCTGAAGACATATTTTTAAAACATGACTAGAACTTTGCTTCAAACAAAATATTTTACAAAGAATCTAGAATTTCACAGAAAGTAGAAATAGATCACTTATTACAACTTAACATATTGTAATAGAAATATGTTGGTACTCATAGGTTCACGATATAATTTGGGACGTTTCCGACATTTAAAATTTTTCTAAAACTCTACTTTTTGAACTGCTGGATTGCTGATTTTTAAATGATTTAATTTTTAGAAAACGAGAAAGAAAAACGAAGAGTTTTTAAAAGATTCAAAGTTCCACAGCAACTCGACTTTAAGATATTAAGTTTGCGAGTATAGTGCATAGATAGTGTTTATTGTCGAATTTAAAATGCTTGAATTTTCATAAAACGAGAAATACTATTTTAAAAGGTTCACATTTCCCCACAAACTCGAGTTTAAGATATTGAGTTTATAGGTATCTATACACAGGTGGTGTTTATTATCGATTTTTTTAATGCTTGAGTTGAGAAAGTTTCTTTTTAAAAGGTTTACGTTCCACCACAAACTCGAGTTTAAGATAGCGAGTTTATACTGTGTAGTTAGTGTTTATTGGAGTGTTAGGAAATATTTACTTCAATTTACATTCTTAATACAAAAAAAATTTATGATTCATGGTAAACTCAGTGTTTGTGAAAAGAGTTTATTGCAACTACTAAAATAACCAATAAACTCGAGTTTGTGATGCAACGTAAACAACTTTTTGTCTATGTTCTATTACTAATATTTTAATACCAATTAATAAAACACAATCGCTAGATTTTGCTGTCGGATAATGAATTAATCATATAATTTAGTATATGCTGTGGATTAACCCAGATTTGGTAGCCTACTTATATGGTCACCTCTTAAGTGGATTTATGTTCGGTTATCATAAAATTAATTTATTACTTTTTATTTTACAATGCATCATAAATAGTTAAGGAATAATCTATTTTAAGACAGAAATAATTTTTACCAGTATTGTTTCAAATGTGCCTATTAAAATTTTACGTGATAATGATTGAACCACATTTTTAAATGCAAAGTCTATATTTCACGTACCTTTAGTGGATTAAATGATAATTAAGTACGATAAGTAACAAATATATTATAATATGGTACTTATATGTATATAATATTGGAACGACCGATTAAAAAACCAAATGAAGTAAAAACCTCAACATGTTTGGTGATATTAATTTTTTCATGTTTTTGCCTATTTTAAAACGTTAATAGTGAAAAAACACTTCCTACATTTAGGGTTATTTCATATTTCTGTAGCTAAGTCCCATACCAAATTACTTTTTTTAATAAAAAGACTGATTTTTTATATTCTAAAATCATTTACTCAAGATTTGTTTAGTCAAAAACTATTTTCGAAATCTAGGCCTATTTTAGAGCATCAGGTAAACATTCAAAGATTTTTAAAAATTTTTTTAGAACTTTTGGAATTTTAAATGTTCTTCTAAAAGATATTTAAAGCCATTCCATCACGCAGGGTTTGCAAAGTTTTTCCTTTACGATTTCTAAAATAAAAAACCCTAAAGTTATGCAGTTTTTTTAGTAAGAAATTCAAACTAACACTAAAGTAATTAAAAACGCTGCCTACATTTAGGGTAATTTTATATTTTTTTAGCCAAGTCGCATACCAATTAATTTCTTTTATTGTGCTGACTGATTTTTTAGATTTTCAAATCACTTTACTTAAGATTTTTCTTACGCAGAGAAGACATATTTATTAAAAAAGTTTGACGATTGGTCCTAGTTGTGAAAAACGGTGTCCAAAGCAAATACGATGCCCAAAAAAATAATAAAGTGCTTACACTCCTCACTAACTTTAAAAGCTCTCATTTCAAAACAAAGCTCAACTGTCGAAATATGCACTACAATTCTAATTTTCCTCGGGTCATAAGTAAAGATATTGATCTCTTGGATACAAGCAAATCCAGCTCAGCTATCAGTTAACAAGCGCTAATACTTTGCTTTGCCTATCCATTACCAAAGCTCAAGGCGCTGAGAAGTATTCGAGAAAATTTGGTTGCTTATTTTAGTTACACATATTTACACATACATACATACAGTTCACTGGCCCCGCTGAGGAATGCATATTTATTTTTACAAAGCAAATTTGATTGCCTGAATATAGGTACATTCAAATTTGCGCATTTTGTTTATATTTTTTGTGAAATGCTTTTGTTTTTTAAACCACGCAGTTATTATATGTGAATATATAAATAAATGTATAAACACATGCATACATATATGCGAGTGTATATGACCGCAATGTATGCCAACGCACCGCCAGCATCAAGCTCATTACTCGCTGTGTTATTATTGGAATGTTCGCCCCGGGCGACTATTACTTAGCCGTTTATTAATCGAGAACGTGAAATCCAAGCGCTAAGCGCTAAGCCTGTGAGTGTGTATGTGTCTCACGTGCTTCATGGCGAGCGACTATTTGTTTAACTTTATTATTTAATTTTTGACTTCATTCACCAAATTACAGTCTAGTACATAATATTTAATAGATGTATAAACAGTCAGTCAGTGCTTTGCATAAGTATGGGTTCACCTAAGTCTAAATAGCAGACAGTCGGCAAGGCGATTAAGTGTGTCGCTCAAGTGCATTGGCATTTCAAAATTTGGCAAATTCTTGCAAGTCTAATAAATATGAATATATTATGCGAGTGCATGTCGTCAATGGCGTGTGTATTAATATTTACTATATGTATGTATAGATACACATATATATATATATATGTATTGGCCAATGCAAATATTGTTTATAAGTTCACCAACCGCCGTTGCGGTGTTTCTGCATTAATTTCAGTAATCTGCAGTAAAGTTCGCTGAACTCGAATGTATGTATGTATGTACATACATACTTGTATATGCTTATTTTTTTATCACAACATATGAAGGAAATCTATTTTTAAAAAATTATTTTTAAAGACCTGTTAAAACTATTTTTAAAAAAATTTATTTAAAAAAAATTAGAAGATTATTACACATAATTTTAAAAAGTATTTCGGAAAAAAATTGTTAAAACTTATAAAAAAAAGTTTATTGAAAATTTACATAACAATGTTTAGATTTATATTTGATTTATTATTATTTTTTTCTTAGTATTTTGAAAATTATTCAAAATTTGTTTGAAAATTATTTTAAAAAATATGTTAAAAAAATTTTAAAAGAAATATATAAAAATTAAAAAAAAAAATTATTTTAAGAAAAATTAGAAGATTATTACACATAATTTTAAAAATATTTAAAAAAGAAATAATCAAAAAAAAATGTAAACAAAATTACACATTATTTTAAAAAGTATTAAAAACAAAAAATTAAATAAAAAATAAAATATTAGCAAAATAAATATTAATTGAAAATTTACATAAAAATGTTTAGATTTATATGTATTTGATTTTTTTTTTTTTAATTAATCAAAAAAATTTTCAAATTGTTTTAAAATGTTTAAAAATTGTTCAAAAAAATTATTTATTTAAATCAAATAATCAAAAAAAATTATTTAAAAAAAAATTAATTGAAAAATATTTTGAAAATTTACATAAAAATGTTTAGATTTGTATTTGGTATATTATTTTTTTGAAACATTTTTGTTTTAATTACTATCAAAAATTATTTTAAAAAAATTTATAAAAATTTATATAAAAATTAAATAACAAAATATTCGAAGATTATTTTTAAAAAAATTATTTACAACTATTTTGAAAAATTATTTAAAAATGTTTAGATTTGTACTTCATTTATTATGTTTTGTTGTGTTATCAGCGGAATACTTGAACCTTGAGCTTTCAAAGCGCACACTTTTAAATTTCTGACGACATCTCTACCTTTCTTCTCTTACAAATCGAAGTGTGCGTACATATATTTTACTTGACTCGCTTTTTTTGCTGAATTCGTATTTTAATAAAGGCAAGTATGTAATGCAGCTTGGTTTTATATTAAGAATAACCTGTTAATCTGATGAATGCATATTTTTAATTCAAAAACCCTTATCATGTAACTCGTCATTTGACACGAGCTATCGTATGTCTCTTTTAAGATAATCTCAATCACTTTTCTCCTAAAATATTGTCGAAAAGTCTCTTAGTAGTTACAGTTTAAAAGATTTTTAAGAACATTTTTTACTTCAGCATGAAGTCAGACTTTAAGCGCCATTTTAAATATTTTTCTCGATTTGAATATGTCAGCTCGTATGACAGATATAAGCTATAGTGGTCCGATATGGTCTACATTCAGTAAACACATGCATTCTTGTTGTTGTTAAATATTTATACCTATACGTCTGTATGTGTGAATTTACTAGCACCCACCATTTCCGCTTTTGGTAGCCATATTGCACGGCATTATCAATAAGTGCAATAACTACTTAAGAGAAGGGGAATCATAAAATATTCACACGTACTTGTTTAGCGTATTTAATGGTCGGCTACCGGATCGGCCCTTTAAGATGGCGGCATCCATTTGCAATTCTTTATCAACGATTCGCGCTATTTCCAAACCAATTTCAAGATAAGTTATCACAGCTGTTATATCGCCTAAAATGCAAAAGAAAGTAATGAAGTGAAGTAATTTTATTGAAAATATTAAAAACAATTACATTTATTGAAAAATCGTTGTTATTGACGTATTTGTGTTGTAATGGTAATCAAAATTTTCAAAATTTGTATTCTTATTGTGACCCAAATTTTTTTAAATTACTTTATATAGCTTTATGATTACTATTACAAAATACTATACAAATACTTAAATGGAGTAATTCTTAATTTAAAAAAAATTAATTTGATTTGGATTAATATAATATTGAGAAGAAATGTGTAGTATACGTAATTGAACTTGTATGTACTTAACAATGTAATGATTACATTTTACATTACATTCATTTATAGTTAATTATCTTAAAATAGTGAATTTTATAAATTGAAACGAACCTTTGAAATTGTATTTATACAATAATAATTACCATTGACGGTATTTGTATATAAATACTTACAAAATACTCATTTCATACTAGCTCTGTTACTTCAAGTAAATATTACCATAATTCACATTTTTATACAAAATATTGAATCTTTAATTGCAGTGGTTATGAAATGATTAATCAATTTAATTATAAAAAAAATACTTTCCCACAGAATGAATTGATTGGTAATTAATAAATAATTGTCAATATATTAGTAAACAGAAATTCATAACAACTGTACTCTTTTTTTTTTACTTTGAAATCGTAAGATATTGAGGTAGATGTAATCATTAATTTTGATTACAAAACAGTAATCAGAATCTCATAACAACAGTACTTAAATTTTTTTAATTTGAAATCGTAAGATATTGTATTGAGTAAAGTATTCAATTATTTTCTTTGGATTACAAACATAATCTTTTTAAATATATCAAAAATCTACAAGCCAACAATAATACGTAATCAATTTCATTTAAAACGATTTTATAATTAAATGCTTGTCATCATTACTTTCTTAGTTTTTAATTAGTCAGAAGTCAGAAGAAAAAAAAGTATATTCGTATTATATAAGACCATTGATGCCCAATTTCAATTGATTACTGTGAATTTTTTATGCTAATTGTAATCATTTGTAATTATACTGCAATATGAACGCTTAAATAACTAAAATTACTTTGCATACTTACGAAGTTGATCTCTAATCTGCATTTTCTCCAGATTATTGACTGATTTATCATTGTAGATGATCACACCGATCGCACCACGATCGTAAACATGTTTCACCTTTTCCTCGAATGTGCAAAAGCCGCGCTTCACCAGCGCAATCCAACCCTTGGATGGTAAACTCTCACCATTAGTGCCCGCGATTTTGGACGTGCAAGCTGTATCGTCCGTTATATTACCAATCGTGCTTACGTGTATGAGTTTACCCTCTCTACTATCCACTTTACCCTCACCGTAACGTGCCTTCTCCTCACTATACACCAATTTACGTATTTCACCAAACTCATTCAAGTAGGTGAAATTCAAATAGGCATAATTATAGACATCTATGATAATACGCTCTTCATTGGCGAGCATTTGCGTGGCGTTCGCCGTGCGAAAATAACGATCGAGATCCTGATTGGCAATAGACATGGCTGCCACAAAAGTGGTGGTTGTCGTTGTCGAGGTCAAACGCAGACCGCCGAGCAGGAAGAGGCATGCTAAGAGCAGCAACTCCTTGGAACACATTTTCAGTTGAGTTGCTATGATTGCTTAGTTTGGGTGGAGCGTCACGAAGCTCCTATTTACACGAAGCGATTATATGTATGTATATGGGTGTGTTGGTATGTATGTTATATGTTATGTGCACGCACGTTCACTTTTGAAACACTTTTTTTTCAATTTTTGGGCAATTTTTCTTATAATTTTCTTTTGGTTATTTTTGCTACGCTACCAGACGCTTCGCTCTGCTCTCGCACGTTGCTACTTTTCTTTTGCACATTTGATATTTGAAATCACTTTTGATATTTAAGCAGACACGTCGCGCTTGTCGCTGGCGTTCCGAACGTTTTCTGCTTGAGTGCTGGGACCGACGTCTTCGACCCACCTTTCGTCATCGAGTGTTGCAAGTGTACTGCAAAGAAAAATTTAGACACAATTTTAATTTGGGTTGAACACGTATATTGTTTGATGTTGTTAAATAATTTTTTCTTCTTTTTTTAAATTTTTTTGTTTGTTAATTTGTCGTTTTATCATTAAACTTTGTTTATTGTTATGGCAATGTTTCGAACCGTTCGTGTGCAAAGCGCGCTGATAAGATTTGAAATTCGCTATATTCGGTTCGGTTGGGTATCTCAATTGATTCGTACATAAGTGTTTTTGTTGATTGAGCTGTGAAAACAATGCGAGCGTAATGTGGTGGGAGAGAGAGTGTAAGCTAAGTTGTTCGTATTGATTATATTAATTATAAATGTATTTATGATATTAAATTTGCGGGAATTTTGGTTTTTAAATAAAATCTAGTGAATGCGTAATTTTTTAAGCGACAAAATAAGAATAATCAAAATGAGTACTCAAAAACAGTAGTCAAGTGCGGCCTGAGAGAATATTGCACTTGTTTTTAAGGAACCAATTATTATATTTACTTGAATCGGTGTTTGTATGTTTTTCTCTCTCTGAACGTCAGCACTTCTCTTATCAATCCTTAAAATATCAGCTACTTCATTTATTCACTCAATATTGCGTTAATACGTTATTGCGCGATTTGCATCGATTTTGAATGAGCTAATTTTACACACAAACAAACATACATATATATATATATATATATATGTTCATATGACTTGCGTAAATGGTTTGCATGCCTCATTTATGAGTATATTTTCAGAATGATATTGCACACGTTGCGATAAAATCGATAATATTCTGCCAAATAATTACAACAAAAAGTAAAACCGAGAAAGATCCTTAACTTGAATTTGTTCGGTCAGTTTGTAAGGCAGCTATATGCTATATCAGTCCGATCTAAAAAATATATTAGTAGATTGTGGCGCTGCTTTGGACATATGAGCAGTTTTTTAGGGAGAAAAATACATTTACAAAGTTTCATATTAATAACTCAAAAACTGTGTTAGTAGCTCGCGTATACATACACTGACTAAATCGACTCTCATACAGGTACTTGAGTTTGATTGTTCAGTTTATATGACAGCAATGTGCCATAGTGATCTGATATCTGCGTTTCCGACAAATTAGCATCTCCTTGGGAATTCATAAATTGATAAAGGTGTAAAAAGTATAATCTCTGGTGTGATTATTTTATTATATGGTACAATCAAATGAGTCATAATTCGGACTTTTTTCATAGAGAGCACAATATACTAGTCTTTTATCTGTAGGAAAAACTCAACGCAGAATCATTTCTATGTGCTTCTACTTCCTTTATAAATTGGGGTTTCTTCGATGTGGGTCAGTTAAGACTGTTCAATTCCACAGCAAACTTTTCATATCAGTGTTTTCGTATAGTTTGTTAAGAGCACGAGATTTATTCTCAAAGATATATATATATATATATTTTAAATGAATTTAACAAATTTTGAAAGCAATTCGGCAGAATACATATTGCAATCAAATTAGCAACACTGGCGTACATATTTCGTATTATTTGATAACCCCGCATTTAACGTATATAATAAGTCTGAACCAGTGGCGAATGTAGAATTTATTTGCTGGGGGGGGGAGTTTCCTTCCAACATTTTGTTATATTGATGTTACTTTGTAAATTCTGCTGAATTTTAATTAAAATCTCCCATTTTAGGTGGGTTTGACACCCAGAAGTATCCCATGGTTCCACCACTGATCTAAAGCAAAAAAAAAATCCTATGCATTTGATTTTGAAAGTGATACATATATACATCAAAATATTATATGTATGATAAATATGAAAACATTTTAATCCGAAAACTCAAGGCTTGTCAATCTTCCGAGAGCAAAATGCATGAGCATGAGCTTTTGTGACGAATAGAAGTCATTGTGCTCCTAAATGCTATTGACGTTTTCAAGGCTCTTGACATAATAAAACATGAATGCAGGCGAACATATATACTTACATACATATATATAATATATATATATTTACAGCCAGTGGTGACAATGGCTTTGGCTGATGTATTGTATTTTGTGGTAGTACTTTTATAAAGGAAAATGATATCTCTTTAGGTGGCTATATGGATACACATATTTATCTACGCTTAGGCACGTTGCAATAAGCTAATAGGGGTTCATTGTGTCCGATATACATATATACATATATACAAATGAGGCCGAAAATGAGTTATTGTCATAGACAAAAATGCATGAATGCAGGCAGAAAATGGTACAATTTGACGCTGATTTCAAATGAGATGTGAAATTCCGAAAAATTGGGCATTATATGTTGCATTTAAAGATAAATATATGTAATAATCCAATTGTATTAAAATATAGATGTACATATTCATATATGAAGCAAAAATTGTTATAAACATGTGTTAACGTCAAAAAAAAGAAAAAAGTTCGTTGAAATATTCACAAAAGCCATTCACACCTGAACCTCTGCCAATTCAATATGCGAGTCTCCAATAGTCACCGTTCGCTCTTTATCGCACCTTTGTGTGGGTACACACGCCTATCAATTGCTGCTTCTGCTGCCATGCAACAAATAGCCGTGCGTTGCCACGCAGGAAGTGCCATTTTGACATTTAGCATGATTGACGTCCCACCCGGTTGATTGCCGCAAAGGCAAGGTGTGGGCAGTTGTAATAAATTTAATATAAAAAATATAAATTTCCACAAAACAAAGTAAACATACAAAGAATTTTGAATAATTATAATTTGTGCGTCAGCGCAAAAAATTGTTGTTCATTTGCGCAACGAAAGCGATAAAAATTGCTCAGTCGCAATTTGGCGCCAAAAGGCTGAGCTGGCTGGTTTAGCATAACAAAAGGCGGTATGCATAAGCTTGACAACTCCTTGATGAATGCGCCGAGCACACATCATATACAAATACATATTTTATATGAGTTAATAAAAAATATATATCTAGACATACATATTAGGCTCATACTTGTATGTATGTGCGGCGATGGCTCGCGTCTGCTCATTATGCCTGCGAAGCATGTGCCTGCCGCACGCGCTTTGTTTGCGTAGAAATTTTAAGACTTCTACTAATATAGGCATAGAATGCCTGAATCCAGTTGAAAAGAATATATCACAAAACAGCATACATAAAATGAAGCCCGAAAACAAGAGTGGAGGCTTGTTGCCATATACAAAATGAAAAATCTAAATTCCGTGTAAGTAGCGGTTTAATAACAGCCGTTTTATATTTCTCAGGCACGTGGTCATAAGTAGTACATGCATATGTACGTATGTAGTTTGTACTTGGCAACATGTGTACATGAGGATTATACTTAAATATTTAAATTCGTTTAATACAAAATATAAAAATTTTTCTGTATCAAAAAAAATGTTTTTTTGTAATGAAAATGTACACAAAATCTAAATACTAAATAAGCCAAAAACTATGAAATTAGTTACTTTAAATATTAAAATATTGAAAAAAAACCCCAAACTTATATAAAATTTAATTTTTGGCAAGAGTAATAAATATTAAATTGTTTTTCTTATACTTTTTGGAATAAAAATTTTATATAATAGCATATAGTGAAATTTAAATTTTGTATATTCAAAAAGCAAAAAAAATAAACAAATTAGAAAATATTTTGAAAACCTAAAATTTTAAAAAGTCTGAAATAGTATTTTTAATATTTTTCAAAGAGTTTCAAAGAAACATTTAATTTTATATGTATCAAACAATTCTTAAAATCACAATTTTAAACTCAAATTTTTAATTATATAATTTTTTTAATTTAAATTTTTAATATTCAAAACAAACAATTTCAAAAAACTTCTGAAAGCCAAATTTTTTTTTTAAAATTTCGAAAGTCTCAAATATTTCTTTTTAGTTATTTACCAAAAAGTTCAAATACTAATTAAATTTTATTTCGAAAAATTTTGAAAATAATACTTTTAAATATACATTTTTAATTTTGGAAGAATCTTTAAATTTAAATTTTGAATATTCAAAACAAAAAAAATTAAAAGATATTTTGAAAACTAAAAAATTTAATTTCTTACAAAATTTCAAATAACTTTTTTCAGTTCTTCTCAAGAGTCTAAAAAAATGTTTAATTTGATCGATTATAATTTTTAGAATAGAACTTCTATAACTAAAAAAATATTAGAGAACATTTTTCAAATTTTTAATTGTCATTGGAATATGCAAAACTAACAAATTAAAAAAATGGTTGGAAAAGCGAAATTTTTTTAAATTTCAAACTCTGAAAAGTTTCAAATATTTGTTTAGTTTTTGTTTTAAATCTGAATTAAGTTTTTAATTTTATATCTTATAATTTTCAAGACAATAATTTTAAATTCTGATTTTATTTATAGAGAAGTACTTTTAGACGACCCAATAAATTTACTTCAATATTAAAATAAAAAATATTACAACAAAATATTAAATTTTTAATAATGGCATATTTTGAAATTAAAATTTTGTATATTCAAAAAACAAAAAAAAGATAATTAAGAAAATATTCTGAAAACCGAAAATTTTTTAAATTTCAAAAAATATTTTATGAAACTAAAACAATTAAGAAATTTGATGGTATTAAAAGGGTTTATTTAGTAAAAAAAAGGGATGAAATTGGTTTAAAATTTTTTTAAATTCCAATTTTTAGTTGTCATTTTTTTTTAAATTGGTTTATTTTGGAAATGCAATTTTTTTATAAAACCATATATAATTCATACATTTTTTAAAAAAATTTTAAAATTTTTCTTTAAATTTTATTTAAAAGTAAGCGGATAAAAAATTTAAAAAAGGCATAACAATATTAACTTGCCGTTAGTAGTATAGTACTGCAGAGCATATATAGTTATAGATATGTATTATGTTTCTTTGTATGCATGCTAGTATTTAATTATATGCTTAAACCAAAACCCAAAAGGAAAATAAACAGAAAAAAATCGAAACGAACAAACAAAGCCAACTAAATGACGGCACTAAATATGTATGAACAACTAAAACGTGAA